CTTCCTTCCTCCCTCCCTCCCTTTCGTCCTTCCTTGCCTCGTGTTGGTGCAGGAACATCTGGTCATTGTTGATTCTCTTGGGTTTTGAGAGCGTCATAAACCACCCCCAAGGCTCCAGGTTGTATTGATTTGGTGCCTTCACTATCTGACATTGTGGTGTCAGCCTCCTGAGGAGCTGTATCTCTAGAGCAGGGCTGGTGCCTTCCCCCTGGATGCACTTGGCTTTGCTGTAGACCTGGGCATTGCAATAAAGCGGATGTTCTTGTGCTTCCCTTGAGAAGGTGCTGCCAAGACTCATCTTTGACTGGAGGGGTCTCCTCCTTCCTGGAATGATAGGCAAAATGGACCAAAAATGAGTAGGAGCCTCTTGGCATGGTGAACCCAGTTGCCTTCTGCAGCCTTGGGTGAAACCCCATGGCTAGCTATCGTGATGCTCATGTGTCCCCTCCTTTTTCACCTACCTATGAAGGGATGTAGAAGAGAGACCTCGCTTGCTTCACACTTCTCTGGGAACAATCCCTCCCTCCCTGTGCCCATTAAGGAGCTGTGGTGGTATCAGAGAAGCCACATATGTATCTGACCCCCTTTGCCATGCTGCCCTTCCCACCAGCTGCCTGTTGGATCTCGCTGTCTCACCCAGCCCCTCTTTGCATTGTCTGTGTTTGGTGTCCTCTTGGCCAGATCCTGGGCAGGTTAGGAAGGTTGCTGAGTTCCTCCAACTGCTCTGCTTGGTGGCTGCTTCTCATGAGCTTTCCCACCCCAGTAAGCACCAAGTGGGGCAGCTCTGCCTGTCTCTTGTTTTTAAGGTTCCGCTTGGCCTGGTTGAGTCTTGCACCAAACCCTTTGCCAGCTTTGGGTTTGGAAGCTCTCACTGTTGGTGTGCCCCTTGCTCTGTCTGGTCTCCTCTGCCCGGTCTCGCGTGGAGTTACTGACACGTCTCTCTCCGTTCTCTCTGTCTCTCTGCAGCCTTTACTAGGGAAGGCATGCCTGTAAGTACCTTCTTGCATCTTATTTTCCCTTTTCCCCCCTTTTCCATGTCTCTTGCCATCCCACCGGTGGTTTTGTTGTTGCTGTGAATCCCGGCCAAGGCATGGTCTTCTTGAAGTTAATACTTCTCTGTGTGGGATTTGCATACATCTTAGGGAAGATAAAGAGGAGCTGATGGGTGCTGCTTTGTGCAACTCCTAACTACCTTAGTTTGATTAAATATCCCAACTTTCTTGAGAAATAAGGCAAATTATCCCTTGCCCTTTATCGACAGTGTCTAAATTCCCTGCCTCCTCCTTGGATAGTCACAGGGTTGGAGATGCTGTTGGGTTTTCCTGGAGTTCTCTCCTCTGCGATAGCATGTTGTACCTTAGGTGATAAGAGTCCTTGGGAGGGACAGACCCTCCTGGGTCTAAGTTGTGTCTATGAGTGATGGTATCACCGAGATGTCTGAGAAGGTTCTGACTTAAGCCCCCAGTACGGTTTTATCACTGGCATGGGGCAGGAGTGTGTTTTCTGGAGCTGGATTGATCCTGGGTCCTGGCATCTGCAGTTTTGCAAGGCTGGGTTTTGGGAACAGCAAATCTAGATGTCTTGGACAGACTAGATGCAAAGATACTGTCCTCTTCTATTTCTATTAAGAAAGCAAGATGCCTTGAGCATTTAATGTGCTAATTAGGAATGATTAAGGCTTTGACAGTTTGATTTAGTGCTGTTAGGTCTTTGTGTATAAGTCTGGATAAATTTGAAGCCTTTGAACTTAACTCATTCTATGTGATCAGGCTGAGAGCATCAATCATTGGGCTGTGCTTAAACATCTTCTCAAAGACCAGGGAGACTTTGGGGCTGAGCCAAGGCTGGAGAAGTGTCCAGGGGTCTTTCTGCCCTCTATAGACCATTTCAAATCAGCCTATAATCATCCCTGTCCTGGTTCATTCTGTGGGCTGAAGATGAGGGGATCTGCTATAACGTGGCCAGAACTCGGCCCTGCTTGCACATAATGGCTGCTGAGCCTCTTTTTCTCCCCTTTTGGAGTAAACAGTTTTGAGAAGTGGGAAGTTAGGGAGGTCACACTTGGTGGATGGGTTGGGGAGGATCATCACACTCATACAAATGTAGAGGTTGAGTTCCTCAGCATGGCCTATGCTCTTT